AACGAGGTGAACGGATGGTAAGGCCCCGCGGGGCTCTGCCCGCCGCTTCCCCCGCGCGGCGCGGGGAGCTGGGAAGGAGGGGAAGGTGGATGCGCTGCTCGGTGTGAGCTGGGTCTGCTCCCGCTCGCAGCTGGGTCAAACACGGTCCCCATCGCTCCTCTGCGCTGTCTGCTGCTTCTCCGAGTCACTTCAGAGTGGGTTTGGTTGTTGTTTTTTTATTATTTTTTTTTTTTTCTGTAAGAGCGCCCTGGGAACCCTGACACAGCAGAACACAAACCTGGGCTTTTGTGTCTAAGCAGAAATATTTATGGTTAACTCCTAAATCCAGTGTGAAAATGACTTTCCCCTCTCTAGCAGGCGTCTGGGAGGCTGTTTCAGTGATGTATACAAACACTTTGGTTTTGACGTCTCAGTCAGATCCACCTGAGGACACTAAAGCCAAGACTGATCTGTTACAGACACTTGTAGAAGTGAAACTCTATACATGAACACACAGATGTCGTTTGAAGGAGAATTTGGAGGGACTGCTCAGGCATTGACTGTTCTCCCTAAGTTCTATTCAAACGGTGAGACACTGGCACAGGTTGCCCAGGGAGGGAGTAGATGCCCCAACCCTGGCAGTGTTCAAAGCCAGGTTAGATAAAGCCCTAAGCAACTTGCTGTGGTGGGAAATGTCCCTGCCCAGGGCAGGGGGTTGGAACTACATAGTCTCTAAGGTCCATTCTAACCCCTAAAATTCTATGATTCAATGGATTCAGCCTGTATTTGTTGTGCTGTATTGTGCTTGAAGTTAAAAATTTAGTAAAAAGAGGGAGTGGCAGTGTTCAAAGCCAGGTTAGATAAAGCCCTAAGCAACTTGCTGTGGTGGGAAATGTCCCTGCCCAGGGCAGGGGGTTGGAACTACATAGTCTCTAAGGTCCATTCTAACCCCTAAAATTCTATGATTCAATGGATTCAGCCTGTATTTGTTGTGCTGTATTGTGCTTGAAGTTAAAAATTTAGTAAAAAGAGGGAGTGTGACTCTTTACACAGGCAGACAGTGGGGGAACAGAACAGTTTTAAACTGAAAGAGGAGAGATATAGATTAGATGTAAGGAAGAAATTATTCTCTGTGAGGGTGGTGAGGCACTGGCACAGGTTGCCCAGAAAAGCTGTGGCTGCCCCATCCCTGGAAGAGTTCAAGGCCAAGTTGGATGGGACTTGGAGTAACCTGGTCCAGTGGGAGGTGTCCCTGCCTGGGGCAGGGGCTGGAATGAGATGAGCTTTAAGGTCCCTCCCAACCCAAGGAGTTCTCTGACATTATAATTAAAAATAGGAAGAGCAAAGTTAGGCAAGGAGCTAGACTTTTAAAGGTGAAAGTTTGATCAGCAGTTGTGAGAAGTGTGGGACACTTGCAACTTGAGGTTCAAAAAAAAGTTTCTATTTATCTCTGCTTAATTTAATTCTGAAAAAAAATAACTTGGAGAAGGGCTGAGTGTGTTCATTTTGCTGAAGAATTTCAAAATGCAAAAGCTGGAGAAAGGTCAAACAACCACAAGAACCTGAGATAGGGAAGAATAATACAACTGTATAGTGAGTTATCACATTTGAGTTTAAGTCCTTAATACCAAGCACTAAATAAGCTCAGTAGCTTTTAGGATGTTTCCTTACTATGTCTCTAGTCAGCAACAAAAACATAGAAAAGTGATTAGTTCTGTGCATCAGTTACAGATTGCAGAAGACTAACTGTCTGCAGATCAAAGCTGGGGAAGTGCTGGGGCAGCAAACAGCAACTGGGCAAAGAACTGTGCTTAGAAACTATGCTTACAATATTTTAAACATCCTTTACTTGCCAAAAGGTGCAAGTCCTTGTGCTGACAGCATTAATTAAAGAGTAAAAATAGTCTCCTAGAGAAGTATCCCTAATAGATAATATATACACACACATAGGTATTTTAAGTACAGCTGATTCTTTCAAAGCATACACAAACCTTCTTCTATTTATTTTTCCAGAAAAAGCAGCCTAAGAAACAACAGAAAGATTCTGAACTAAAAATACTGCTGTAGTAACTTGGTATCAAAAGCATTAGAGTGAGGGGAAAAAAACATCAGCAGGTACCACTGCAGCCTCCAAATCTAGTGCACGTTCCCAAGGAAGTTTGCAGTTTAAACCTATTTTGTTAGACATGAATTAGGTGTTGCTGTGCTCACAAGCAGCGAGAATGAGTGGAAATGAGTCTGCCATAATTCAGGGTTTGACACAGTCCATGTTTTCCGTGTGCAGGACCTGTTTGCACTGGGCCTGTAAGCGGAACCACGCGGCAGTGGTGGCTTACCTGCTGCACGCCGGCGCCGACAAGGACATCCTGACCAAGAAAGGAGAGAGGCCAGCCCAGTTAACATCCAAGAGAGAGATCAGGAAGATGTTGGGAGGTAACCTAGTGACTGTGCCATTTGGTTGTAGTAAAAGGCTGTTCAAAGCATGTATGCTCCAATCTTTAATTTGCATGAGAAGATAGTGTGTTTGGATTTTAGTACTATGACTTCATTTCTAGAGTGTTTACTTCTTAAGAAAACAAAGTTTAAGAAAAGAGAATTCCAGCAAATTCCATACCCAGCAAGCCAAACTTTTCTAAACACTGAAAAATTAGATAAACTGTATTTTGAAGCCTGCCATGTGGCAGACAGATGGAGCTTCCTCTTTTCGAAAGGGCAACAGGAGAAAAATCTCTTGAAATTGTAGGAAAGTCTTGTATGAGCAGCACCTAATTTTCCTGATGTTCTGTGTTGAACAAATTGAAAATTAGCAGCCCAAATAAACAGCTCATTTGAAGACATCCTACAGCACCTTCATCTTGTTTTTTAGCTGCTGGAGGTGATAAGTAATTTGAAATGTGGTCGATTAACAACCTCTTCCCTCTCCTTTGTATTCCCGTGTCTGGTTTTGTTTTCATTGTTGTCTCCCAGCTGTTGCATTGGTAATGCTGCAGCTCTCCCAGTACTGCATGTTCTCTTCCCTTTATCCCCTGCCTTAATACCAAACAACATACTACCCTTTGTTTTTCCTTTCCTGATACATTATGGAGATGTCACCATTATACCACCAGAGACTGTGTTACAACACTGCTATGGATTAAACCAAACCAAACCAAGAGTACTGCAGTGTTTAGAAGGAATTAGCACCCCCAGAATTACTAGAATCAGACTCAGTTCACTATCTGGCAACATTTGAGTGTGGTTCTGTTTACTGTAGAACAAAAGGTGCAGTGCTTCTTGATTCATCTTTTAACCTGTGATGCTTTCAACCCTCCACTCCCCATAATAATATTAGTAGCAATTATAATAACCATAATAAAGAAATAAACCCAAAGCTCTCAGTGCAATAGCAATGCTTCCTTTTTTTACCCCCAGATCAGTCTTGGAGAATGTTGTTTTGTTTGTTTTACAGTGGAAGATGATGAACTCCCAGACTTAAAGCAAGATTCAGATCTGCCAATCATCCCCAATTATCTGGCTAACCCACCTTTCCCTTACGTTTATAACACCACGAGTAGCAGTATTCCAGATCCTGCTGTGAATGGGAGTCTCTCCCACTTGGATCCACATGACACTGACTCCCCATCCGTACCTGACACAGAGACTTACCGACGTGCACCGTTACAGCACGGGAGTGCTGCTCCCGAGGGGGCTGCTAATGGGGACATGCCACCACTGCCTCGAGGGGCTGCTGTGCCACCACTCTCCAATCCTGTCCTCCAGAGAGCTCCTGTTTACCAGGGATCAGTGTCTTGGAGCAGAAGTCCCTCTTCGCCAGCAGGATCTAACCAGTCCATTCCCCAGCAGGAGAACGGCTCCTGTGTGGGGCCTGTGCCAGCCTTTCAGCCTGTTTTCTTCACAGGAGCTTTTCCACTCAATATGCAAGGTAACAGCAGAAGTCTCCTCTGGTTTGGTCTTAGATCTTCTGTAACCTTGGGCAGTACAGACTAATCAGGGTCACAGCACTTCCTGAGATTTTCAGGTTCCCATGCTTAGGCATTCAGGAAATATTTAGAGGGAGTGAAAGAGGCAGATATCCTGTTTCTGCTGGAACTGTGATTAAAATATTGATGAAAACATTTGCTGTTCGTCTCAATTGCTGTGAAAGCATAGAGACACCAGGGTAATCCAATTATCTGAACAGCATAGTCCAGGCTGCAAATACAGAATGTGAATATACAGCCCATGAGCTCAGGAGAACCTCACCCAGGTCAGCCTACACCTGAGTTTCGAGCTGAACTGTTCTGGGATCTGCCAGTTCTGCAGGGAAACTTTCCCTGCCCAGAGAAGGGAAATCTGAAATTCCAGTTTCAGTTCAGAATTCCATTCTTGAAATAGAAGGCATTCTGATGCCATGGGTTAGCAATGAGGAGTTAACTGATGGCCAAAAGAGTCAGGAAAACCAATCAAAGCAATCTTGGATTGCTCAGGAAATTGATAAGCAGCATAAGCTGCTGTTGAATTAGCTGAAATCCAGCAAGGTGAGTATTCATGAAGAGATTCAGATGTGCACACACACACTGCATTAGACTGGTAATGATTTTCATAGAGGTTGATGAAAATCATCCTAATGAAAACTGTGGTTATACAATTCCAGTTATTTGCTTTCCAAGGATTCCTGTATTGTTACAGATGACACAAACAAGGTAAATAGACTATGAAAATGTTTGGAAGTCAGCCTAGAGATGAGTTTCCAATTCCTTTATAAATCTGCCTTTGTATATGTCCCTTTTTATTTCTAATAGAACTGGTGCTTAAAGTTAGAATACAAAACCCTAATCTTAGAGAAAATGACTTCATTGAAATTGAACTGGACAGACAAGAACTGACCTATAAGGAACTGCTCCGAGTGAGTTGCCGGGAGCTGGGAGTGAACCCTGAGCACGTACAGAAGATCAGAAAATTACCAAATACAATGTTAAGAAAGGTAAGAAATCCACATTTTGAAGTGCAGAAACTTATTAAAAACCAAAGATTTCTAGCTTACCATTATAAAGGAATAATTTGTTGGTCACCTGCATAGACCCAGGTTGGAACAACAACACCCAGAATAAAAATTACCCAGAATAAAACAACACCCAGAACAAAAAACTTCTAACACGCAGCAGTTGTTTGGGTTTTTTTAAAAGTTGCTCCAATCTTCTTGATCATTCCTTTCCATAACCATTCGGTGTTGAACCCAATTAATATCTGATTTTATGACCACATTGTAAAATTCAGTGTGATACCACACCACTGTGAGCTGCCATCAGCATTTTAGAGACCTGCAGTACTCAACCACGCTCTGTGAGCTCAGTAGGATACAGTCCTTGCACAGAAAGGAGTTTCAAAATTATTCTGAGTAACTATCTTTACTTCAGTGACATTTAGCTGTGCAGCCAGCAGAAAAGGGACCTGCTGACCTGTTTTCCCGACTCACCACTGACCTTTCTTTCACTCTCAAATCCTCATAGAGCATTGTTGGCGTCATTCATGGGGCAAATCTGATTAGGACTAGATAATAGAGTTCAACCTGCTGTATCTTCACTGACTGTAGGATGCCATACTCTGTGTTAGTCAAGAAAAACATAAGCAATTTTGTCACTTGCCAACTTTGGTTATTGTTGAAAGAAGTTTTTATTTCCGGCTCTAATCACTTCAGGCTCTCTGGTAGGTCTGCAGGACACTTACTGTTCCTTGAGGTGACACAAACCTAATTCTGTGTTGTGCTGTTAGCAGCAGAGCTCAAAGCAGGGGGCTCAGAGCTGGCCTTGGTGGGTCACTCTGGAGGAAGCTGTATGCAGGACTACCTTGGGTAGATGCAAGAATCAATTCATGAACTTCTCAGAATTACCAAGAGGGAAAAAAAAGGAGTCGGGTGGCATGCAGTAGGACTTGACAAGTGTAATTCCACTAATCATTTGCACTCAGTGTCAGTGTTGCATTCCATCTAAAAATAGACTGCAGTGAGTAGCTGAATAGGATCCCAGAATAACTATAAGATGCAACAGGATGTCTTGCTTTCAGTTCACTGTAAAGATTTATCACACTTATGGATAAATACACACCTTCTGTTAGTATGAGCTTATTATTTTAACTTACCTCTCCAAAATCAACAGGCACTATCACCTAACTGCTTATTGTATTTATTTAAAGGACAAAGATGTTGCAAGGCTACAGGATTTCCAAGAACTGGAACTTGTTCTAACAGTAAGCGACAAAAACTTACTTTTCAGAGTCCCAACACTTTCTGAACAGAGTGGCTATAACAAGAAGGCATCAGAACTTACATACTGATTGCTTAAGGAATCAAACAAGATTGGTTTCTCTCATTTTAAAATTAAGTTAGAAATACAATAAGGGCTAATGATGTGAAAAAGATCTATTTTGTTAACCTTGATATAAACTCAAGTGTTTATGCACAGTTACAGCTTCTAGTTAATCCTAGAGTAGTGAGTCTGGTATGAAAGTAACTTGATGCAAAGGAAGTATTGGTAGAACTGTTAATGGAACACTCTTCCTTACGAAAAGATAATCTTGAAATACTGCAGAGTTAGCAGCTCTCAGGGAAAGGCTTACCTTAAGCTGTTCTAATCATTCATTTGCTATAAAATAGCAGAGGAACTCAAGCTAAAGAACCTGCCATGAAGCCCATTTAATATTTGTACTGACTCCATTACCATTAACGTTCCCTTTTTAGATCATGTTTATTAAGTCATATCGTAAAAGGAAAAAAATCAGAAGGGTTTAAATCTGTGGGAGAAGCACAAAACTATGTCTAGTTCAAATACTATCAAGTGACTTATTACCTGTGATTTCTTAATCCCTGTTTACACTTTTCCCTATTTCTCAGGTTGAAACCAAAAGTGTTAGGAATTATCCAAATAATAAATATGCTCTCAACCAAAATCCCTTTCATTGTTGTCTGTCAATATATATAGCACTGACATGTGCAATTTGAAATACTATTTTTGTTACTGTATTAACATTTCTGCAATGCTGCTTTAATTTCCCCTTCTAAAAGCACAAAAAGTGTCATTTTATTTTCCTTTTGCCTCTACATTCCTGAGAAGATTGCATCTTGAACCTTTAAAAGTTGCCTGTGTGAAAAGAAACCAGTGAAATCCCCAGGGTTTTCTGGAATGATACTAAAACTTGATGTTCCTATGCAATATATTTTGGTTTTTTCCCTATAACTTATGTTTACCCATGTTGTTTACTGAAAAAAAAAATCACCTACAGTTACTTATAATTCAGAATTTGACTACTTTGCTGTGAAATTCTGGAATAAAGGATTGAAAAGTACTTAAGAGCTGGATTTTATCCTATTTTTTTTTAGGATTGTAGTATTTTCTCAGTCACTTGCATTTGACGAAGAGTTCTGCTCTGGTAGCCTAAGTGAAAAGTATGTGCTACACATTAGATGAGTGGACTAAAGTATGAGATGTAAACCAGGCAAACAAAGTACCAAACTGCACTGAATTTTCCTGTTTCTTCATCTTCCCCCTCCCTCCCTCCGTTTCTTTGGAAACTGCAGCAACCAAAGGGATTTATCTTTGTTTTGTCTAAGAGTTTGGAGCCTGAGTTGGCTGTAGTGTCTGTGAGCCTGATAGCAGTGGTGTGCTGAGCTGGGAGCCAGCCAGGAGAGCTGGAGGCCAGAGCTGTGTTGGAAGCTGCTCCAGCTGACTCTCTCTGACTGCAGCCAGGTACCACACTCCAGCTGACTCTCTCTGACTGCAGCCGGGTACCACCTAAGCCTCGAGCCCTTTCTCTGAGGCTGCTGCAGGTAGAGGAGTTGGTCCTTCCCCGCAGTCAGAGCAGCCTCCTGTATTACAGCAAGTGCAAGGGGAACTGCACACAAATTGGTCTGTGCTCACTTTGTGCTCTGGGAGAAGCTTCAGTAGGAGGGACTGAGCACACAAGAGGGAGCCCGTGCCCAATGTGCCTTCGGTCAGGTGGCCACTGCTCACCTGCCAGCACAGATCCTTGTGCAAACACCTACATTTCCCTCTGTGCCAGAAGCTCAGTCCCCTAAGGTGAATACAGAACATTTAATCACAACAAAATATCCTCTTCTGCAAAGTGCTGGAGGTCAAACATGGTCCAAATCCTTGGCAATATCTGTGGGGTTTGTTTTGCAGATTGCTGGTAGAATATTAATTTCTGTGTAACAGAATAATGAAATCATTGCTCCTTGCAGCACTCTGGCTGTTGTCTTCTCCCTGGCACATGGCTCAGGAGCTGTCTGAACACCCAAATCCAGGCAGGTATGAGGGTTAACCAGTCAGACCCACTGCAAAAAGCTCAGCTCTAGGATCAATGATCTTGCACAGATGCTGATCCCTATCTATGCATTCCCAGGAATATTTTTATACCTTATGCAGTTCATACACTGAGGATACTATTAACACTCCCCAATCTGACCAGTGTATAACCACTACATTCTGTATGTGATAAATAATTCATTACTTTGTGCTCTGCTCTATGAAATGTTAATGGCTAATGAATGCTTGGCTGCAGATTCGTGTTTCTATTTAAGAAGTCTAATTTGTAAGAATTAATAAATTATTATTTTTGTCTTCTCAAAGCTTCTTACGTGCTTTACTTATGGTAAAACATAGGAACTTTGTCTTGTTGGGTAGGTTTCTGCAGTGCTTCAGGTAGGAAGCAAACAACTAAAGCAAAAGAGGTTCTAGCAGGTTCTAGCAGCCAAATGCTGTTTGAACACTCCTCCTTTCATCTCAGGAGACCTGGTTATCAATAATGAAGTAGATATTTATTTCCACAAAACAAATCACACATTATTTCAGGTGATTAAGTGCTGAATGAGATAACCTAAGTACACACCTGCTCAGCATTGCACATTCAGCTTGAGAGAATTACTCATAGTGACTTCATACCAAAGAGAGATACAGCAAAACTCTGGTACTTCTGTGCCAATCATGTTCTTACAGGCTTGTGTCGAGGCTACTGAACTGGAAAAAATGGTGTGGTTAATGGTTTATATGAAACCATTTGTAGGCTTAGTTTTAAATACAAGTTCTTATGCTGAACAGGAATTTTATAATGCCAAAGTTGCCCTGGGCAGGGATCTCAAAGGTCCTGGGTTAGCTTGGAAGCTACAACATTCAGTTCCCTTGTCCTGGGGGAAATATTGAAAGGAATGGATTGGAAGCACTCAGAGGTTACACATCATTTCACTATTACTCAGCTGACTCACAGCTTAACTGGGCCTGTCTTTCCACTTCAAAACCAATGAATCCTTTTGTAGAAAACACACAAACCAGGTGCATTTTGTACCATGAATATAATTTACTAATTACAAACCTGAATGCAGTACATATTGCCCTGTGGTACATACATTTTCTTGGCAGAATGTTTGGCATTCTTTGGGGAAAAAAGAAAAAAGGCACATAATAAAATATTTTATGTATATAGAAAATATTAAAAAATATAAAATTCACTTTCTGGTCCTTGTAATCGTAAAATACTTTGTTCACATATCACAAGTTGAGTCTACTACAAAAACTGTTTTGTAAATTACAGTACATTCACAAGTCACTTTTGTGGCAAGTCAGTATGTTAAAAAAAACACTATCCCCAAACTTCTTTTCATGCCAGTCCAGCATCTTTGGCCATACTGTAGAAAATACCCTTTGCTGCTATAAGATTTGCAGGTGTGTCGAATTCAGCTATGGTTCCACTGTCTAGAACAAGAACCCTGTGCAAAACAAAAGATGGTGGTGGGGGAAGATGTGTCAGAGAATTCCTTGCAAGAAATGTGATACCTGTTTGTTTTTATCACAAAGCAAACTGCTCTAATCTTTGCCTCACCTTTCTTTTCCTCAATTACTTTCACATGTTAAAACACAACAGATGATAAATGTTCTCCTTGAGCTGCTGTTTGACTAAAAAAAGGTACAGGGCAGTCACTATCTCCCTGGGGCAATAGAGGGGAAAGGTGTCATAGTGGTAGTTCTGGAATTGAAAATACAGTTCCAGAAAGCCAAGGAGATAAAAGCTCATGATGTGTACTAATATACTTTAAAGTCATTACCATGACATGCTGTTAGTGAAAAAGTTGTAGCAGCTGCTGGTTCAACAAGGCTCTGTGAGCTTGCTGACAGGGCCAGCAGTGCACTTGGGCAATGTCCCCTGCACAGCTCTGGTTACTGAATATAGAACCTGTTTCTCATGCCAACAGAGGCAATGCCAGGACTGGATATTCCAAGATTATATGGCTTAAACAT